TCGGTCAGACACACCTTAGTCTTCAAGTGACACCTTTGTTATTTAACACTTTAAAGATGGTGTTGTTGTTGTTGTTGCAGCAGATGTGCCTTATGCAATACATCGTTGATTGATTTCATGACTGCTTCTTCTGTGAGTATTGATAGCGGATCCAAACAAAATGAAATCTTTGACAATTGCAATCTTTTCTCCATTTATGTTATTTATTGGTCCAGTTGTGAGGATTTAAAATTTCTATATGTTGAGGTGCAATCCTACTGAAGTTGTCTGTAGTTTTTTATCTTCATCAGTAAGTATTCTAGCAAACAAACTTGTTTCATCTGCATATTGCAGGTTATTAATGAGTCTTCCTCCAGTCCTGGTGCCACATTCTTTTCATATAATCCAGCTTCTTTGTTTATTTGCTAATCATACAAGTTGAATAACTATGGCTACAACCTTGACACACACCTTTTCTGATTTTAAACCATTCAGTATTTCCTTGTTCTGTTCTAATGAATGCCTCTTGGTCCATGTATGTGCAGGTTCCTCATGAATACAGTGAAGTGTTCTGTAATTCCCATTCTCCACAATGTTATCCATAGTTTGCTCTGAACCACACAGTCAAATGCCTTTGCTTAGTCAATAAACCACAAATAAACATCTTTGAGGAGCATGGTGCCCCCATACAGTAAGTGCTGTGCTATGAACCACAAGCTCAGTGCTTTGAGCCACCAGCTACTCTGGAGGAAAGATGAGGCTTTCTGCTTGCTAAGATTTAAAGCCTCAGAAACCCCATTCAGGATCACTATGAGTCAGAACCAATTCGACAACACTTAACAGCAACAAATACATCTTTCTAGTATTCTGTGCTTCTCGGCCAAGAACCATCTGACATCAGCATATCCTCTTCTGAATCCACCTTGAATTTCTGGCAGCTCTCCGAGGATGGGCCATGACAACTGCTTTTTTGAGTTATCTACAGCAAAATTTTACTTGCAAGTGATATTAATGATATTGTTCAGTGCGTTCCACATTCTGCTAGGTAACTTTTATTTGGAATGGGCACAGATATGAATCTCTTCCAATTGGTTGCCCGAATTGTTGTCTTGATAATTTCTTGGTGTGGTTTGGAGTCCTGGTGTGTAGGATAAAGCACTAAATAAACTTCAAGGTCAGTTTGAATGCAAGTTCGGCAGTTCACCAACAACTCTTTGGAAACCCTATACAGGGTCACTGTGATTTGGAACCTACTCCACTGTACTTAACAACAATGCCCTGGTATGGCACTGTAGGATAAGCACTGGACTGCTAGCCACAAAGCCGGCACTTCAAACCTACCAGTCACTCTTGGAAACCCTATACAGGATTGCTATGATTTGGATTAGACTCGGTGGTACACAGGAACGATGTGTATGACACTGATCTTTATGCATTCAATTTAATTTCTGATGACTTCCAATTTTACTAGATTCTTACTTCATGCATTTTACATTCTAATTATTAATGGACGTTTGTAACGGTTTTGTATTTTGAGTTGTGCCCCATCGGCAACTGAAGATTCCAAAAGTTGTGCTCTATCCTTGTCATTAAGGTCAACTCGACTTTGAGGCGACACCTCTTCCCTAGTCATATTTTTAGGACCTCCCAAACTTAGGGGCTTATCTCCCAGCACTTTATCAGATAATGTTCCTAAGATTTTTAGTGGCTGCCTCTCCTTCCTATAGTCAGTCACCATTTATGTTGTTGGAAAATGGAATTTTGCAAAATTCTATCATGTGATCTCCAGTATGATTTCTAGCACTAAGGCCACATTTTCCAACTACAGATCCTTCCTTTTTAAGGATCCTCGCTGTCAAGATTTGTTCCCTCTTTTGAGCTACTGCATCCATAAGTACAGGTCACGTTCATCAAATTGTAGCAGATTACACTTTTTTCCCCCTTCTTTCTTCCTTTATCGATGGCATTTAACAACAGTCTTTGATAACTCCTTACTTTATAGAAGAATAGAATTCCCAGGCTCGTCCATGTTTCCTGGCCCTTACCTAGAATTTTAGTCATTTTGCCAAGGATCCCTGGCTTCTTCGGTGGGTCTAAAGAATGGGAAGGTGAGTTTCTTGATTCAGCAGTATGTTGGCTTGTCTTTTTATGGTCTATACCAGGCACCGGAAAGTAAGCATTTCTCACAACTTTTCTTACTAATTTTTGAGCTTCATTTGAGGTTTTGAGTGGCTTAGAGGGAGGAGATGGCTTCCCTTAGTAGACCAGTCCCCTTGAACTGACTTTTGGAGTGTAGGGTGAGTGGATGAAGCTCAGCCGAGGTTGAAGCCACTACCCCTGTTAAGCCTTGCTTTGTGAGCACACAGAATACTCAGAGACAGTGAAATGTCTGTGTGCTAGTGACTCTGTTTGTGGCCTTTATGATGATGTAGGCAGCCCTGTGCTCTACTGCAGTGGTGTTCAAACAGCACATCTCATTCAAGAATTTTGAAAAACTACCACTAGAGAGATTAATGTATTTCTTAAGTTGGCATTTAAAATTTTTGAAAACAAGTATAAACAGTGGTAAGGGATATTTGTTTCCTTTGTAAATGGTTGTAAATATTTCATTTTAAAATAAAACCTATCATGTTGTTGTTGTTAGGTGCCATCGAGTTGGTACCTACTCATACAGATCCTGTGCACAACAGAACAAAACACTGCACAGTCCTGGGCCAACCTCACAATTGTAACTATGTTGGAGCGCACTGATGCTGCCACTTTTACATGTAGCCAGATGAAATCTAAATGCTGTAGTGTTGTGATCCATTTAAAAATAGGATAAACAAGTCCTTTAATAATGATCAGGAATTTTACATAGTTCATTTTTCTCTTTGATCTCTCTGTTCCATTACTTGCCCAAAAGAATTTTACCCTACTCATGGATGTCTGGTTGCTCCAATTTATGCTTGATTGCCCTTTCACACTCCTCTGAAACAAAAATAAATATATAAACTGAAGTTAAATTTTTTTTCTTATGCTTATGTTTGTCGAGGAGCTCTGGCAGTGTAGTGGTTACGAGTCGGGCTGCGAACCGCAAGGTCAGCAGTTCGAAATTACCAGCTGTTCCGCAGGATTAAGATGAGGCTTTCTGCTCCCGTAGAGATTTACAGCCTCGGAAACCCTGTACAGTGTCACTATGAGTCGGAACCGACCACCATGTTTGTTTAAAATGTTTTTAGATTAAGCCATTACATTATTATTATTATATCACAATTGTTCAAAATAGTTACAAAATTTTATAAACAATTATTAGCTGGTGTGGCACTATAGGATAAACTCTCAACTGCAGTGGCAGTTTAAACTGCACAGTAGGCGGTTCAAATCCACCAGCCGCTCCTCAGAAACCATATACAGAGCTGCTATGAGTTGGAAGTAACTCCACAGCAGTAGACATTAAGAAAACCCATTGCTTGGTATTGCTAAACTGAGGCAAACCAGCATCACTTGTTTTGCACTTTGCGTTACCATAGCAACAACACTTTTAAAGCTCATTCACCTGGATGAGTGGGTGGATATAGAGAGCCTTTGAACACTCACTTATGCGTGTGCCAAAAAAGGAGTCTATTCTTTCAAATGTTTTTTTCCGGAGGGCCCAGTCACTGAAGAAGGACATCATGTTTGGTAAAGTGGAGGGTCAGAGAAAAAGAGGAAGATCCCCCACAATATTTAAATAAGAATCCCATAGAAAGGTCGTGTCATTAGACATGATGGCTAAACTCTTGTGTATTTACAGTTAGTTTGGACATCAGAGATGAAAAAGACCAGGTTGTCGGGTTACTGAAGCAAACTCCCGGTGATCAGAATGTCGTTGAACTACACATCTGTGTCTGAGAAGTTTCTGGGCCTCAGATTGGCCCTGTGTTTGCAAGCATCTGAATTGCTCACCTGTAAACATGGGGCAGTGCTGGGATGAGGATTGTGAGAGCTGACACTGCTCTCTTCACCCAACATGTGGGTAGGTAAGGTCAGTTCACGCAGGCCTCAGGTGTTTTGATTAGTCATTAAAAGTGGCTTTCCCTGAACCAGTATTTTGAATCATCCCATTGTTTGTGCCTGGGAGGTTTTACTCCTTGGGGCTGGTTTCCTGTGGTGGGTGGAGAACCCTCAGACACACCAGCTTTAAAAAAGAATATTTCTGGAGGTTGATCCTAAAAACCAGTGTAGTCCCCAGACCAACTGCCTCAGCTTCCTGGTGACTCATTTGTTTACAATGCAAATTCTGAAGTAGTGCAGCTCAAGTTCAAGACCCGCTTAGAACCGTGTTTCTGACTCGACAGGACAGGATGTTGTAAACTTTGGACATTTCAGTTTGTGTGGGTTTCACTGGGTGAGAAGGAGTCCCGAGCCTGCAGCCGGTGTCCACAAGTGGCTCCTCAGACAGTGGGAGGGACAGCCTGCCCACACCCCCTCCCCACCGCCCAGGGGTGCCTGTAGCTCTGCAGGCGTCTGAGTGGCCAGTGCTTCCGGGAGGGTTGGCTCCAGTCCCCAGGCTTGTGCGGGAAGTGCCAATCCAGTGCCCACTAGCCACATGGCCTTAATTCCTGGGGCTTCCATTCTGATACTTTTGAAATGCAAATCACATCAAGATACTGTTGCTTAAGACAGACGTTCTCAGCAGTTTTATCTCCTCGTTTTCCCTCAGACCTTTGAGTCATCTGAGCTCTCTGTCTGGGCCTGTGTTTGGACCCTGGTCCCTTCCTCCTGCGGACTTGTCCCCATGCCAGCTTCCCACCCCTCCGCCCCCATGGCTGCTGCCTTGAGGAGGACCCTGAGAGGCCTGTCTCTTAGCACTTGCCATATTTGCAATTGATTTTGAAATTTCTTTTTCCCCTCCCAAGCTGGGCTCCATGTCTCCTTACCTATAACCCTATCAGCCCATCCATCGTCCCTGAGAGCCCCTCCTCTTGCCTTCCTCAACACCTCCCCACACCACAGGGACCCCTCCCTGCTGTCTGCTCACCCTGTCTCTTCCGTTGCAGTTTGGGGCCGAATTCCGAAGGTTCTCCCTGGACCGCCACAGGCCAGGCAGGTTCGATGACTTCTATCAGCTGGTGGTGCATACCCACCGACTTGCAAGTACCGACGTGACCATTGGCTACGCGGATGTACACGGTGATCTGCTGCCCATCAACAATGATGACAACTTCTGTAAGGCTGTGTCCAGCGCCTGCCCCCTGCTCCGCGTCTTCGTCCAGAAGCGAGGTACCATGCGGCGGCAGGCGCACAGCCAAAGGGCCTCGGCGCTTTAGTGTGGTGGGAAATTTGTTACAAATTGTTTGGTTAGCATTCATTCATTCATGAGAAAGACTGAATTTAAATTGCATTTTCCAACTTAAATAGTGTTTAAAATTTTTATCAACCTGAAAAAAAGAAAAGTGTAGATTTCTGAGTTTTAAGTCCTGAGGAAAAATATCACAGATTCTCTCAACATTTTAGCTGGAAAGAAATCAATTCTGTAGAGAAAAGGCATTAGTAAATTGTCCAGGAATGCACTAGTTTAAGGGTGGCTCTGGTAGCGTAGTGGTTACGAATCGGGCTGCGAACCTTAAGGTCAGCGGTTCGAAACTACCAGCTGCTCCGCGGGAGAAAGATGAGGCTTTCTACTCCCGTAAAGATTTACACCCTTGGAAACCCTGTACAGGGTCGCTATGGGTCGGAACCGACTCGACGGCACTTAACAACAACAACAACAGTGGGTGTTTGCACTGTCTTTCTAGGATTGGAAACTCTGTTACTTTAAATGATAGCATTGGTTAGGGCTTGCTCTCACGACCTGCCTTTGCTGTCAGTAATAATGGGGTCATTTTTTGTGAAAAATGACTCACAGGTTGGTGGTTACGTGGGGGAGTCCTGATGTTGGCTAACCCGCAGGACTACATTTTAGAGGGTTTTTGTCCTCTCCAAATTAGGAAGATCCTTAACATTTCAAACTAATATGCAGAAGAAAAGACATACCTTCAAGAGAGGGCTTGATGTTCGGACTGAGCCACATTTCCCATTGACTTTGGGGTCATACCTCTCCTCCCTGGGGGGGCGGGGCCCTCCTGCAGGCTCAATTCTAGCACATCCCACAGGGAGGAAGAGCAGGGACTCAAGCTGTAGAGACAGAGCAGAGGGCTGGGAAAGAAGGGAGGGGATTGCCAAGAAGAGTGGGAGAGTCGGGCCCCCAGGCAAGTGGCTTCACCTCTTTCTCTGAGTCTTTGAATGCAAAGTAGCCACCAGTAGTGGACACCTATGGAGTTATGTGAGGACCAGATGTTTCCATGTGTACAGAGTATGCAGAGTGTGCCCAACATGGCTTCTACAGTATAGGGGCAATCACAGGGAGGAGCTGGCAGAGGTGAGGGTTATGGGGCCGCTGGAGGGGCTGGAATCAATGGTCACTGAGGTGCTGGAAGTGATGGTCGCTGGGGGACTGGACGCTGGTCACTGTGGGGGCTGGAGGTGATAGTCACTAGAGAGTCATTGGGGGCTGGATGCTGTGGTCAATGGGAGTCACCTGGTGGGCTGTGGTCATGGGGTAGTGGTTACCTGGGGGGGCTGTGGTCATGGGGCAGTGGTTACCTGGGGGGCTTGTGGTCACCTGGGGGGCTGTGGTCACCTGGGGGGCCTGTGGTCACCGGGGGGGGCTGTGGTCACTGGGGGGCTGTGGTCACGATGGGGCTGTGGTCACGGGGGGGCTATGGTCACCTGGGGGGGGCTGTGGTCACCGAGGGGCTGTGG